CCGGGCTGGACTCCACTTCGTCCACGGTGAAAGCCGATCCGGTGATCCACAGCGCAAAGTTGTAGTATTTCCTCAGCGACCAGCACGGATCAGCTCTAGGCATGATGAAGCGATATCGTCCTCTTTTGGAAGACCAAACAAAGTAGTTTCGCTTTCACAACGAAACACACAGCGCCTTCACGACATGGCGGCGGCGGCAACAACAATACTACAGCGAGAATAAAAGTTACACCTTCTTTCTTTGCGTGAACATTTGGGCGGCGTTATGCAAAGCTTCTCACATAGTGATGTAGACATGTGGGGGCGTGTTAGAACGAGCCGTTTTAGGTAGGTGTGGCTGACTCTTAACGCTTATAAAGAATATCTCTTTGGATTTGAGACTTTAGTCTTTGCAACTTTACAGATCTTCTTTATGCACCAAGAGCTTGTAATACTCCAAAGAGAAAGGAAAAATTTAAATCGCATCATATGACCCCTTTAAAGTGCAGTGTGTGAGAATTAGGCTACATTTCGAAACTCCAAATTCCAAATTAACTGTATAGGCCTGCAACAGTGGATGAAGCAATTTTACAAAGGAAACAACATGAATTTACTAATATTCATCTTGTATTAAAGTATTCATTTTCTCTTTAATGCCTGAAAAGTAATAGCTATTCGTTGTTTAGTGGATTGGAGTGCATTCTTGTTTAAGAAACATATAGCCTACTGTATTATTTTAGTCTTTCCTTCCTGAAGAGAAGATTAATTAAAAACTCCTGTTGAGGTAAATTAGCATATTTGTTGGCATAAAAAGACTTCGAGTACTGAAAGTAGAGTTACCAAGGCCCCTTTTTTTCCTGGACATGTCCTGGCCATGCAGGATTTCTAAATTGCCTAAAAATTTTGGGGGATTTGGCTTTGTTTTCTTATTGTTTTCATATTTGCTGAAGGTAATGACTGAAAGGAAGTTTAACCAGTAGCATGCAGGCATTGTACATATAATGTATGAGGACTGTAGACAGCAAGCTAAAACCTGGAAGTATGGTCATCCTAGTGATCATAAGCTCTTTATATTATCAATGAAAATGAAGTGCCAATGTGGCAGCAGATAAATTATTTACTGTACAAGGCAAAAAAAATGAACATAAACAACATTTTGAATCATATGTTTGCTCATAAAAAGTTTCCATTTCACTGTTCAATCCAGAAGGACAGGCGTGATCACCAGCGGAGCATCATTTGTGCCTGATTTATTGGTACAGGGACTGAAAAATGGATAAATGGTCTCCAAAAAGTTGTCCATAAATGTGTAAATGTACATCTTTGCGTCCACATTATAAAAGGACAACTGGCCTTTTTCGTAGTCCACAAACAGCCCTATCTTCTGAGGTCTCAGGCTGAGGGGTAGGGCAGTGGAAGGCTCAGTCCTGAAGGCATAGTTGTTCTTGTCCCGCAAGCTAAGAAACCAGTAGCCGTTGCTGGGGCTGACCGTGATCTTACCCTTCCTGTTGCAGGAATGACTCGCCACTCCCAGGTCCCAGTCAGTCTTTCCATCCACCTCCACCTCCCAGTAGTGTCGGCCACTGGTGAATCCCTCGCAGCCCAGGACACAGACTACACGGTCGAAGCGCTCATGGTTGATGGGAACTTGTTGGTGCCTTTCACCACACCACACCTTCTTCTTGTCTTCTGATAGGATGAGACGAGGATGAGCAGTGTTGGTGTCCAGGGTCACATCCACTGGTGTAAAAAGTTAAAATAATTATCTCTTTTTATATTTTGGATGTTTAACACTATCTATCTATCTATCTATCTATCTATCCACTCACACACACACACGCGAGGTCTTTGAGGTCAGTACGATTTTTAAGTGTAATGTCACAAAATATTTATATTTCAAGGTTTTTTTGTTTGTTTGTTTTTTTGTGCACCAAATCAGCATATTAGAATGATTTCTGAAGGATCTTGTGACACTGAAGACTGGAGTAATGATGCTGAAATTGTAGTTTTACCACCACAGGAATAACATTTTTTTTTTTATTTGGTGCTATATGTAAATTCTAACTTTAATTTAATTATATTGAAACTGTATTAATTTAAATTAATTTATATTACATTTTATTTGTATATAAAAGACAAATGAACTAATAACTAATAAATAGCCCTTTTTATTTAGTTTAGAAGTATAATGCACAGAAATCTATGATTTGTCTCAATTAACATAATGGCATATAAAAGCATGTACATAATAATTAATTAAATAAAAATTAGAAATGATCAAGCAAATTAGAAAAATGCAGTTTGACATAATTTTAGATTAATTATAGAATGTCATACTGCTTGACAAGTTCTGAAATGCTCAGAAAAATTCAAGTCAAGAACAACTTGCACAAGAACAACAGAACTGAAGTTCTTATGGCCCTCAAGGGATACAGATGAGATGTACAAGAATTAACAATCAATAAACTGTTATCTCAACAATTTAGGACTTTACACATAACAGGGCAAACCTGTTATCAAGTCTTGAGAGAAAAAAAAAACTTTACAGCACCTGCTTATATATACACTGCAATAAAATGTAATCTTTAACACATACCTGCATATTCCTGTATTCTCTTCACTTCTGCAAAACATTAAAATAAGATAATTGTTATTGAAAAGATGAAGTTTAAAAATGCATTTCGTAATTCTAGATCCACAGTTAAATAATGAATCATGGTAAGACGAACACTTGCCAGCAGAAGTCTTACTTACTTGGGTGTGACTTCACCAGTGATTGGCTAGCAGACACAGAGAGGCCTAGAGCAGAAAGAAAACACATGAAGTAAGTTCTCCATCTGCCACTAGATGACACTGTAGTGTTGTGTTTGACAGGAGTCACTCACAGACTGCAGGTACTTTCTGAAGCTCCTCCTTAAACTGTTCCACTAGCTGACAGACAGAGCTGTAAACTGCTTTAGTTCCAAGATCACAGGTCACTGAGACGCCCGTCCAGTCTTTCATCGACATGGGAGTGCTGACGTCAGAGTAGCCCTGTTGAGGAAGACCAGGAGCAATTGATGAGCTTGATGTTTGCCAAGTCATGCTTATTTTCCCCCTTATTTTCAGACTGCTCCCACTGTAAAATGTCTTTTCTTACCATACAATTTGACATCCCAGCTAGTATTTAAATTTTTTTTTTTAAGTGTCAGCTTCTTGATTTTGAATAATAGTAGTGGCCAAAGATCAGTAATAGCCTATTCAGTGGACCCAGAAAGTACAGTATGTGGACACTTAAGCCAAACTTCCAATTATACACACTAAAAAAATGCTAAAATTGTAGCTTATGGGGTACAACAGCTTGCCAGCAGGGGCAGTTCTGGGGGGGTGGAAAGCTTGTTAACATAACTAAATTTGGAATCATATCACACCAAACTATTTTGTGTGAAATGTGCAGTTTGTCCACATTATATATTAGTTAGTATATAGCAGAAAATACAGATTTTTGAGAATCACACTTCAATCTTTTGGTTTACTTTGCTGGATATAGCAAATGATGACAAAATAAATGTTTGAAACAAGATAAATGGTTTATGCTTAATTTCATGAAGTGTGCGATTAATCGTGATTAATCACAGAAAAATGGTGTGATTAATTAGATTAAAAATTAATTTGTTAAAAAAATTTAAAAAAGTTTTAATCTATTGACAGCCCTAATATATATATATATAAAGAAAAACATCACCAGCTGCTAAATTCAAATTATAAATTATATTTTTAAATTATAACCAATCCCATACGATTATGTTTATTTTATGAATGCAAGGACCAATCAGAGGCGTTCAGATGAGTCATCGCTGAAACACGCTGTTTCGTCACTGCGAGTGCTGGCTGACTGAATTCTCTGGTTAATTCTCTCATCAGATACAACAAAGTGAAGATGTACAAATGTAAGTAAGATATTAATTTCACAGTGTAAACATCTTTAGAGATTATTATGGGAGTTTTTGCGAGTGCTTGAACTCCCTGGACTGAAGTGAAAATGTTCTTTGATAATGTAAATGTTACAATGAAAGTGTTATAGGATAATTAGTAACTTACAATGTTTTTATTAAATTCACATGAATGCAAAGTCAGTCGTATTAAAAATATTTTATGGTATGACACCCATATCTGGTACTTAAGTAAAAAGACGGATTTTTATGCAAAGTTAATAGAGTACACTATTAGGTTACTTTACAAGAGAACTAACATAATATGTAAAGGTGCAAAATGCATTTACTTGCACATATTTGAGAATCGAGATATTTCATGATATATTTTGGGAATATTTTGAATAAACATTTTTTTTTTTAAAAACCCCTGCTGAAAAAAAACAATAGACACCATTAGAAAATTTGTAATGGTTTTACTGGTTATAATGGGACTTGTATTGGTTTTACTGGAAACTGTAATGGACCCTGTTGGTCTCTACTGGTAATTGGTTGCCTTCTATTGGTGGCTTGTTAAAACCAATAAATCCTAATGGAACATGTCCCAAAAAACACTACAGAAAAACATTTTTAATGGTTTTAATGGTTAAAAGTTGATGGTTTGTAATGTTTGTAATGTTATTTGTTGTGGAAACCATTACAATTTTCTGTGATGGTTTTATTGTTTGTTTGTTTTTTATTCAGTAGGGACACAAGCCTATATCAGTTATACAGCGGTATTGTGGCTGCTGTGTGTCACATGACAAGCATGAGAGCCCCCCCCCTTCATTCGTGCCCCCTCTGAATGAATGATAGGCTACTTAAAGTAGGTTAAGATGAATTTTAAAATTGTGCCCCCTATAAAAGCACAAGTGGCCCCTGTCTGGGCCCCCCCAGTTACTGTGGTCTAGAACCACCCCTGCTTGCCAGGCGCAGTATCCTCAAAGGGACAGCTTTGTATATAAAAGGTGCATGTTAGTCCCCTAAGAGTATTACTACCTTAAGGGTATTACTACTTTAAGGTTTTAATATGCACCCTTTAGGGGTAAAGAAGGTACAAAGGTGTCCTTTTGAGGTTCTTGATCCTGTGACAAGCTGTTGTACGCCTGAAGGTAACATTTTTGCACATTTTTTTCTGACTGTGTATGAACACTATTGGATTAGTTAACAAAATCAAACCAAGTTGTATTTTTATTATTATCTGTTTTAAATATTGACAGCACCAGCACACCTTTCAAAGAAGAAATGTTACATTTATTTATTTAACAGCTTGATAGCACAAGCACAATTTTCAAACAAGGTTTCATTTTCATTTGTTTGTTTACAAAACACAAGCTCAAAACAATACATTTATTTATTTATCTATATTATATATATATATATATATATATATATATATAATTTTTGTTTTATTTTGTTTTTTTCATAATTTATTTTATTTTGTTTTATATTGTCTTATTTTATTTTATTTTAATTTTATTTTATTTAAAAGACTGATCGAGTAAACACTTTTCAAATAAAGTTTTTATACTGTTTAAAAATTAAGACAAAAGTTATTTGGACAGTTTCGTCTTATCAAAAAACAGTTAATATAATTAACCAGTTGGTGAAAAGTCATTGCTAAAACTAAAACATTGCTAAAAGTTTCAGTATCAGTTCAGTACCAGTTCTTACTTATTCCTCATTTCATCCTACCTTACTATTCTGTTGTTTTTTGTTTTGTTTTGTTTATGTTCAAAGATAACAAAAGCATACATTTATTTTTACTTTTTTATTTATTTGTTTGTTTATTGTTTTGTTTTAAAGATCGATAGCACAAGCAGACTTTTCAATTATTTTATTTTATTTTATTTTATTTCTTTTATTTTATCCAGGTAACCAGTTCTACACTACAGTATACTAAGTGACACCAGTTGGTTAAAAGTCACTGCTAAAACTCAGAAAAGTGGATTGATTTGTTTGCAAATGCCACTTTAATATTTCTTTTCTTTATACAATAAAATTCACACATTTTTAAAGGGGTCATATGATGCGACAGAGCAGACTGCGCTTGTCGGAAGGAGGGACTTTGTAGAAAACGAAGCGTTTGAGAGAGGCGGGGCATAGAGGACCTACAATAATGTACAGTATTTGAAAAATAATGTGTTTTTTGAACATTAAAGCATGTCAACATATTCTGTTACACCAAATACACAAAATAATGATCTTTAAAAAAGCATCATATGACCCCTTTAAAGTGACTTACGTAATAACATTTTTTTGGGCCTCAGTTTTTATGTGAAGGCTTTTACAGATTTTCTGTTAGTACCTGTTGTTACTTATTCTTCATTTCATCCTACCTTATGACTCTGCCACTCTTTCTCGGCACATGTGATGTCATGTGACTGGTGTTCCGTTTGTCCACACTCAACACAAACACACTCCAGATCAGATCGACAGAACAGCTCCAGGTTATGGTGATGTTTTGGACAAAGGGGCACTTTCATGGCATCTGCCGCCCCACTCAGGGTATACCTTCGCAGGGACACCGGTCTGGCAAAACCAGGTGGCTGGGTGTCACTAGTACTCTCAGTGTTTGGTGTGACAGGCAGTTCAGACCCTGTTTCATTGTGAGAGGCCAGAGAATTGCTGTATGCTCTGTGCCGGGTGAGTCTCTGCTTCATTTCCTCAAGAAGATAACCTGGTAGTTGGCCTGGCCTTACTGTCCCATCCACTGAGTCTTGTTTTCTTACGCCTTCCTCAGCTTCTCTACCTGCCCCGTCCCCTCCAGAGGCCCCCGGGTTTTCCTTCATGCGCTTGAACTGTTCGATGATCTCACGGAGAGTTCGATTAATGTGGAGATCGGGCTTTCTCTTGAAGGTCTGCTTGCAGAGGGGGCACTGGCAGTGCTTCACTGAGTCCCAGTAGTGGCCGATGCAGGTCATGCAGAAGCTGTGGCCACATGGCGTGGACACCGGATTGTCAAACACGTCTAAGCAGATGGAGCACAGCAGCTGCTCTTCAGACAGGAAGCTTCGTGAGAATGGCATGGCTGTACAGAGCAATGGCAAAAAATACAGAGGAGACGAGGAAAAATGGCAAGATCAGAGATGACAATGGGGGGAAAATGCAAAAATGAAAGGAAATGTAAAGGTTTGACTGGAATGACATGGATAGGAAAACCAATACAGGGTAGCACTTTACAGTAAGGTCCAATTTGTTAACATAAATTAAAATAAATATAAAATATGACTAAATAAAAAATAAATATAAATATGACTAATCAACCTGACATATTGGGTTACACAAATATAATCATTTTTTGCAAAAGTCAATTGCAGGTTATCTTTTTTTTCAGTAAATGAACAACCGTTTTTTAAAATCTGGGTTTAATCTTAATCTGGTAATTTATAAATATAGTATTGTGGATTCATATTCATTTGTGTTAATTCATGTTAATTTATAATATATAAAATAATGTTAATTTATTAAATATTTACTTGAAATGCTAAAAATGTAACCTATTAGTATATGTATAAATTAATTTTAACCAACATAAATGCTGTACATGCATTTATTGTTAGTTTTTTTTTTTTTACACCAGGTGCATTCATATTAATGAATTGATCTTTAGTGTGAAATGTTAACTAATACAGAATTAACTTTTACAGTAGACAAATAGAGATGGATGGAGAAGTTTTTTGTCCTATGTGTTATGTTATTACTGATGTACTACTATAGTATTTTAATATATATTTTTTGAATTTGAATTGAATTTTTATAGTTTTTTTAATTTGTATTTTCCATTTTCATTTTAACATCAATGTACATAAGTAGCCAAAAAATGTTAAGAATGTTATTGATGTTATTGCTCCTGTGAAAGTCAGGAAGAAGACGGGCAGACAAAAAGCACCTTGGAGAAAATCAACAGCAGTACAGAGTTTGAAAAGACAATGCAGAAATGTTGAGTGGATGTGGCGGAAGACGAAACATAAAATTCACTATAACATCTAAAGACAACACTTCATGCTTTCAATGTAGAACTAGCCACAGCTAGACAGACTTTCTTCTCAAACCTTATAAAAGTTTGCTTCCTTCTTTTCTGAGAAGATCAGTAATATCAGAAAGGCGATTAGCACACCCTCAAGTTATGCAGAGGCCAGACAGATTCGACCATAATTTCAGAAAGAGGTTACTATGTCTGTTTTTGCAGCAATTACAGCAACACACTTCCCACATCTTTTTTCAAAAGTGCGTTTAACTGTTTAGAAGCAGATCTCTTTTGGCTGAAACTGTGTGTGTTATCTGCCTTCAACCTGCTACCTTAACACATCATCTTTTTTCAAAAGGGTGCTTAACTGTTTAGAAGCAGATCTCGTAGAAGTGGTGAACGCCTCACTTCTTTCTGGGACTTTTCCAAACTCCCTAAAAAGTGCAGTTGTTAAGCCTCTCCTGAAAAAAGAGCAATCTTGATAACACCATATTGAGCAACTATAGACCAATATTATAGGCAAGATTATTGAAAAAGTTGTTTTTAATCAGCAAAAACAACTACTTAAACTCAAATGGATACCTGGACAATTTCCAGTCATGTTTTTCAACCGTATCACAGCACAGAGACAGCGCTCATAAAGATAATAAGTCAAATGGTTCAGGTCATACTTAGAAGGGAGAGGTTATTATGTGAGTATAGGAGAGCATAAGTCTAAGTGGACTTCCATGACATGCGGAGTCCCACAAGGCTCAATTCTTGCTCCGATCTTGTTCAACATGTACACTATATTTCCAAAAGTATTGGGACACCCCCTTCTAATGAACAGGTTTGACTACTTTTGTAATTTCCATGAGCACAAATCTTAATATTTAAGCACAGAAAGCCAAGTCCTACAAAAAGGTGTAAAGAATTATGGTCTTCGCTCACAAGACTATTATCTTTTAAGAATCCCTAAAGTTCGTACTAATATGGGTCAACGGGTATTTAGTTATGCTGCTCCATTTGATTGGAATCAATTACAAGATAAGTTATGCTTAAAAGAGTTGGTATCACTAACTGATTTTAAATGTATTTTAAAGGATCTAGTTTTAGAGTCATTTGATTGTAAATGTTTGAGTGACTTGTGTATATGTAAATTAATGTATTTTGTTTTATGTGTAACTAAATGTGTTGCCAATCTTGGCCAGGACCTTCTTGTAAAAGAGATTTTTAATCTCAAGAGTTTCATTTCCTGGTTAAATAAAGGTTTAAATAAAAAAATAATAATAATAATCCCAGCTGAACACCTCTGGTGTGGCTTTAAATGCAGACCTTGTGCCAAAAACTCATCACCTAACAACAATGACTTGTACACACACTATGGACAAAAGTATTGGGACACCCCTTTCTTTAGAACAGAAAAAGGCACTTCCAAAACTGTGGCAACAAAGATGGAAACATAATTCATATATTTAAAAATTGTATTTCCATCTCTTGCAACAGTTTTGGAAGTGTATAAAATGACTGTGTACAGTACAAGTCATTGGTGTTTGGTGATGAGTTTTTGGCTCAAGGTCTGCATTTAAAGTCACACCAGCGGTGTTCAGTTGGGATTAGGACTTTGCTTTCTGCAGACCAGTCAAGTTCTTACATTCCTTGTTTTATTGTTGTGATTATGTTTTTATGATTATATGATTATATATTTAATTACCATTGTGTATGAAATGTGCTATATAAATAAACTTTGCCTTGCCTTGTCTCAAGGTCAGTTAAATTTGTAGTAATTGTGTTGTGTTTTTGCTATTTTTATTAGTTGTTTTTTTTAGATGTCTATGTACGTTTTTTATTATTAATTTTATTTAAAATAAGAAATGAGAAATATTGCTTTGGCATATGGCTGAAATAAACAAACAATGTTTTAGTTTATTACGTTTAACATTTATTTTATTTCAAGTAACACATTTTTATGGGTATAGTTTTAGGTAACTATAACCCTTTTACTAGTGCTTTCCTATTTCATTTTGGAGGATAAAGCATTTTTTTCTGCTTCTAGGGTTTTAGACTCAAACATTTGGCATGAGTTTAAATACTTCAGCCAGCACAACAGCAAACCTACAAATAGAACATGATCACAACACCTTGTGTCAACAAGAAAGCTGTGAAAATAGTCACAAGTACTAAAACTAGAGCCAATGTAACACATTCAAATGCAGTTTATAAGGTCAAATATAGTTGTCATACCAACAATTGTTCAGTTGTCAATCTTCACAGACAAAAGCGACCTCTAGGATTACTGAGTCGGTGTATGTTAGTAGCAATAGTCCAGGATGTAGGTTAGTTTCATTGAGATGATTTAAAATGTTTTGTAAATCTCACTAAATTAGACAGATTAGAAAATGGTGCTCTCACCTCTAATCAGCAGTTTCACACTGAAATGAGGCACTACTGGCTAAAGTGTGCACATGTTGTGTAAGAGCACTTGTCACATTTCAGATCTGTCTGCTTCAGTGGTATGTTCCTTCCTTTACCCGCCAACTATTTTAGTCCTGTGGAGCAGCTGGGTGGGTTCTGGGAATCCAAACCTATTTCAAACAAAGGAAACAAATGAACAAACACACACAAATGAAGCCAATCAGTTGTACTATTATGTCAGTGGCACTTAAAACTCCAGAATGTCATTGAATAAAGACAACAAAATATCAAACCTAGTTAAATCTGCTAACAAATGAACACTTTCTCAGAACAAAGCATTTTTTCCCAGTAACATTTAAGCAGCAAGTCCCATGATTTTATGTATGAAGTCAGTTGCTTCAGGTTCACAGTGTGCTTCACCACAGTGTCTCAGAATCGAGTTCGACAAGTGGTAAGATGTGTTTTTTTTTGTCCCTTTTTACAACAACAACAAAAAAAGTAGTTTTGCTTGAGAAGTGTGCTTAAGCTATCTTTCTCTCAAATAAACACTTGGTTTCATTCGTCATCTGATCAATGACATTCATTCGTTTTCAAGTGTGGCTTAAATGTCAACAATTTTTTAAATCGAAATACTTCATTAACTATATGATTTAGTATGAACTATAATTTTTATAACAGATTTTGACATATGCTTAACTCCAAATCTATATTAACAGTCATAAAATTGTATTTACATTAAATCTCTGAGTAAATTACCTCTGTAAGACTCTTTTTTCTTTATCCGGTGGTCTCTTACTCTGTCTTTGTGTTGTATCCAGCTGTACAGGTATGATCGAAAATCGTACATGTGGTTTGCTTTTGGTTGACTGATCTGCCCCTCCCTCCCTCCCTCCCTCATCAGCGCTCTTTCTCTCTCTTTCTCCCAGTTAGAGTGAGCTTAAACCTGTCTGATGAGATTCCAAGCAAAATTACATGCTTGTTTCACACACACTTCGTTGTCAGGTTTTGTCACATGAATCATGCAGAAACATAAGTAGTTTACATTTTGTTGTAACTAATACTGACAATGATCATGACCAAACCCAGTCAGAATCTGCAAAGATTTAATTTTATTCTATACGGTTCAAAATTAAGAAAAAGTTCATATGTTAATATGAATGAAATGTTTATATGATGAACTACACAAAATGACACCAGTTGGATAAAAGTCATTGCTAAAAGTCAGAAAAATTGGTAACACTTCAGTATATAGGGACTAATTCTCTCTCTTTTAACTAGTTGCTTATTAACATGCCTATTATTAACATATTGGCTGTTTATTAGTACTTATAAAGCACATGCTCTGCATGATCATATTGTACATCCATAATCCTACCCAATAGCTAAATCTAACAACTACCTTGACTATTAATACGCAGCAAATTAGGAGTTTATTGAGGCAAAAGTCATACTTAGTTACTGGTTAATTTTAATTTCATCGTGTGCTATACTTCCCAAAACTATAAACAAATATGACGGTAACACTTTAGTATAGGGACCAATTCTCACTATTAACTAGTTACTTATTAGCATGCCTATTATTTACATATTGGCTGTTTATTAGGACTTATAAAGCAAATATTCTGCATGACCAATCCTACCCAATACCTAAACTTAACAACTACCTCACTAACTATTAATCAGCAGTAAATTAGGAGTTTATTGAGGCAAAAGTCATACTTAATGGTTTGTTAATAACGAGCATTGGACCTTAAAATAAAGTGTGACCAAAAAATTATTCTGAGAAAAGGTTTTGCATCATTTGTTTGAAACTTTTTTTATGTATTCTTTTTTGCATTTTCTTTATTGTAAAGCATGTTAAACTGAGATGACAGTACAACATGCTTATTGGCAGCTGAAATAAAATTATAAATGAATGAATAAATAAATAACACAAGGAGATGGGTCTGCAAAACCTGTGATTCTAGAGAGATCTGGACCTGATCATGACTGAATTAAAGGTCTTTTGCGGTCAGTTTGTGGGGTGAACCAGAGGTCATATGTGCAAAACAAAGCCTCATTATGAAAAAACCTGACGTAGTGTTAAATCTGTAGAAAAACAGATGTTTTTCTTAAGGGAGAACCAGATGGTGACAGGTTTCTAGGTACATACCGTCTGCAGAGAGACAGATAGAATCGCCTCATTTCATGAATGGTATTTCAAACGTCAACCGCTACTCTACATCTGCCATTAACATTAGGGAAAGACAGAGAGCGAGATAAGAAAGAACACAGAGTGCAAGTGATCAGGGCATTTTTGTCACGTACATCGCTAAAGTTGGTTCTGTTGACACACTTTTACCAGTCTTTATCCTTTAAATCGGCATACATTATAAAATGATTTGAAGATTTTAATGTGGTGTAAGTAGAAAGAGTAAGAGGAATCAGACTGTGATTTCTATAAAACATGTTTTATTTGACCGCATTATATTTATTAATACAGTCCCTAGTATCTAAGCTGGTAATCTGACATACATTTACCCAAGTTACTCGCGCAAAATTGTCTGAAATGCACAGACCAGCCAAAGATAAATACAGCAGTGATGGCATGACAAGAAACTCACCAGCTGGATACTAGGTTATCGACTCATAGTTTGCATATATTTTATATTGCATATATTCCAAGCAGTATTCATTGCCCATAATTTGAGATTGATATAGCAGCCTATATGACTGGTTTCACATTTAAATGGCTGCTCATGAGTCTAGGTGACATCTGAGCTCAGTGCTCCAGCATGGCAACTCTCTGTCCCTTTCCGCTCACGCTCTTCGCTCTCTTCATTTGGTAGACCACCTTGGCCGCCGCATCTGAGAGACTCTGGAGGGGAACATATTTGATGTGATGATCCATGAAATCTCAGCATCATTTCTTATTCATTTTATTTATAACTGTTTTTCAAAATCCTAACAAGTTTGTGTGTACATCCGCGTTTTAAATCCTATATTTCTGTTATATATGTGACCCTGGACCACAAAACCAGTCTTAAGTCGCTGGGGTATATTTGTAGCAATAGCCCAAAATACGGGTCAAAATGATTGATTTTTCTTTTATGCCAAAAATAATTAGGATATTAAGTAAAGATCATGTTCCATGAAGATATTTTGTAAATTTCCTACTGTAAATATATTAAAACTTAATTTTTGATTAGTAATATGCATTGCTAAGAACGTCATTTGGACAACTTTAAAGGCAATTTTCTCAATATTTAGATTTTTTTTGCAACCTCAGATTCCAGATTTTCAAATAGTTGTATCTCAGCCAAATATTGTCATATTCTAACAAACCATACATCAATGCAAAGCTTATTTATTCAAAAAAAATTGACCCTTATGACTGGTTTTGTGATCCAGGGTCACATATAAAGTGTGGGAGATCTTTAACTCACCGCAGCGGAAGGTGTTCGGGATGCTGGTATGGTGTCAGTTTCTGCTGTGTTCTGTTTAGAGTAAAAGTGTGTCATGCTTTTAGCACAAGGACTTTATCATTTAGTCACAATGATTCATCTATAATGCTAATATGGCTCGGGGCACTTTTGGAGCTGAGCAGATTTCAAAACATGTTGCATGTTAAACACAATCACTGACACATATCTACAAGCATTTAAGCGTGTGTCTATCCAGACTGTGGTATGCTGAATTAAGTAAACAATGACAATGCTTGATTTATGTTCTGCTAAAGTGTATTAAAGTGTTGTAAATTTTAATGCATACAACTTATTCATGTAATAAAAATGCTTGATATGTATTCATATTTGAATAGCACCACCTACTGATTAGTTAAATATTCCATAATGTTTTAATGACTTAATAATATTAATGATTATATAACATTTGGAAGTTTTGGAATAATAACGATTAACGAAAAAAAAACTCACTTTACACTAACCAAGGCTGCATTTATTGGTTACACTTTACTTGAAGGGGTGTGCATAAGACTGCGCTCAGTTATGTCATTTTAATGCAAATATGACATTATTTGACCTAACCCTAACCTAACCCTACCCCTACCCTTACCCCTAACCATAGCCCATAACAAAGACATCTCAAACAATGTCATCTTTGCATTAAAAATTACATAACTGAGCGAATGACACTTAATGACAGTTGTCATAAACATGCATAAAACCTCCTTCATATTCATGACATGTGTCATGTCATGATTATGAAGGTGTCATGTCAGTCTTATGCACACCCCTTCAAGTAAAGTGTTACTCATTTATTTAATCAAAATACAGTAAAGCAGTAATATTGTGAAATACTATTGTAAAACAACTGCTTAAGTGTAATTCATTTCTCTAATGGCAAAGGCAAATTTTCAGCAGCCATTAATCCAGTCTACAGTGTCACGTGATCCTTAAGAAATATATAGAGATGACAGTAAAGACATGTATAATGTTACAAAAAAGACTATATCAAATAAATGCTGTTAATTTTTACTTCGTACTTTCCATTCATGAAAGAATCCTGAAAAAATGTATCACATCCACAAAAATATTAAGCAGCACAGCTATTCTCAACACTGATAATAATAAGAAATGTTTTGAGCAGCAAATCAGCATATCAGAATGATTTCTGAAGGATCATGTGACAGTGAAGACTGGAGTAATGATGCTGGAAATTCATAAAATTCAAAAATAAAATGAAATCATTTATTTATACTATTATTTGGAAGGTTGAGGGTGTATGCACACCTGGTTGACAGTGGTGAGGTCTTCACAGATCATACTCATGGTGCTGATCCAGTTCCCATAGATACTCTCTTCTTTAGGGCTCGGCTTCTGTTGACTGTGAGATAAACAATACATTAAGAGAGATATTTTTTATACATACACATATGATGTAGCAAAGAGCCGTCTGGAGAGGTTTGCCATACCTGATGTCTTTGAGAAGGTCCTGCTGAGCTCTGAGTTGTCTCTGTGCTTCCTGTACCCGGCCCTCCATAGTCAGCCTGGCACACAGCTGGGCACAGTGAACGCCCAACACAGACATATTTAAACTGCCTGCCCACACCCAACTACACACACAGGACAAGACACAGAGATGGAGAAAGGAAGGTTGAGATATATATATAACTGTCTTTCTATGTCTACTACAATTACATTTTTGCATGTGAAACAGCTGACTATAAATCAGCAAGTAGTTTATGTCAAAACTATAAAGTGAGATGAGACAGTCATAGATCTGCAGGGTGTTTGCTGTTATTGTGTAGTATTTTTAGTGGTTTGCCTGCTGGTGGTGACACGTTTCTGTTGAGTGATGACTCTCGTCACTTTCTGCAAATCTCGAGTCTTGAAACTCAGCTGCAGCTGAAAAGGGACCCGGTCCCGTTGTTGGAAACCTAAAAAACGCACATTTAAAAATTCTACATTTTGTGTTCCATATAAAAATGCTTAAACATGCATTGTTTCAATTCATTTTCTTTTGATTGCACTGTATATTTTGTGCGTACTTTCAACTTTTTCTGGTCTGACTGCAAACTGGAAGGTGATCTCAACACCATCTGTTACGTTGCCAATCTCTCGTACTAACCTATGATTATCCTCCTCATAGGGGAAGTACCTGCGTCAATCAGAGAAGACAGAGAAAAACAGAGACAGACGCTATGCAATGAGTGTATAGTGCATATTTGTGTTTGCATGTAGTTATGTGTGTTCGTGTGAGTGAAGGTTAGTAATGGATACTTACATGCCATCCGGTGCCAGCAGTGTTGCCATAACGCTAGTTGCTAGGACATTGTCAGCTATAGCGCTCTGAATCTCTGTGGCAACTGTACCAATATTTACAATATTTATCTGAAAAGTGGATGAAAAATACATAATTAGTTTTTAACATTTAAGATCTTGGCTTATATGTAATTTCGCAGTTCATTCACTCCCCCCACCTACAATCCCTGCCGGTACGAGACTCGAACCCACAACCTTTGGGTTACAAGTCCAACTCTCTAACCATTAGGCCACGACTTCCCCAAAAACACCAGATTTTTGTGTTGTTGAAAAAAGTATTTTATGCTCACCAAAGCTGCATTTCTTTGATCAAAAATATAATAAAGGCAACAATATTGTGAAATATTATTACAATTTAAAATAGCTGTGTTCTATTTTTATATATTTGAAAAGTAATTTATTTCTGTGATGGCAAAGCTGAATTTTCAGCATCATTACTCCAGTCTTCAGTGTCACGTGATCCTTCAGAAATCATTCTAATATGCCGATTTGCTCAAGAAATATTTCTCACTATTATCAATGTTGAAAACAGTTGTGCTGTTTAATGATATTGTGGAAACTGTGATACAAACAGAATTTATTTTAAATAAAAATCTTTTGTATGATTACAAATAAAAGTATAAATAAAAAAATAAAAAACATACTGACCTAGGTACAAACTAATAAACTTGTGGTGCACACTACAGAGACGGATGACACTAAAGTGATTGATGTCTTGCAAACGTATGCACCAGTTTCCTATTATCATTGTTTCAAAGCCAAAACCCCTTTTCACATTCAAATGCAGCTGAAGGGGAAATACTGAACACAAAATAGTCCTTCCTTGTATGTGTGGGTGTCACTGGTGATAAGTATCAGTTTGTCTGAAATAAGCTTCAAGCTACATGCCTTAAACCCATTAAAAACAGATTAAGCTTCTACAGAGGGGTTTTACACACAAGGTTCAAGATGTGCTTGAAGTCTGCAATATAACAGATGTAGTGACAGACAGTTGCTGTGAGCCCGAAAATGTAGAGTGAAGGGGTCATGCTGAAAATGTGAGCATTTTTCAAATAGTTTACAATGAGCTACAAGTGTGTGAGCCGTAACCGAATTAGAGAAAAACAACACCCTCAGGAGAAATGGATTGTTGCTGCAATCCTCATGTACCTCTAGGTTTCTCTAAAATAATCAGTCTTTACCATCTTATCTGATAATTGCAACATGACCCAGACTGCTAAACAAAAGTCAGTAACTCACTCTGCCTCCTGTGTGATCAGCCAACCTCCCAACCTCTGCCAAACGACAGTCCTCTCCTTCAAAGGTCATCACGGACACTATCACACTGTAAATAACCACAGCAACAGAAATCTATGACTTAATGACCACAATAACACTTGACATGACATGATTTCATTAGGTACACTGGCATTGTACATTCATTGTTGTTCGCTAAAACCAGTGTTGGGCAAGCTACTCTAAAAAAGTAATCAATTATTAGCTTGTAATTACATCTTCAACAGTGTAGTTAGATTACTGTACTAATTACTCTCTCTAAAAACACTGCATTACTTCCTAAATCTAAAATCAGCCTCGAACAGTTTGACAATACAAGGATAGAAACGAAACGGCTCGTTTAATTCTTTCACATAAATAATATGAAACTGCATAAATTATTCTTGAACCAACAAAGGTATTTAAAGGGAGAAGGTTACATACAAAAATACATTTTAACATTTTAATTGTTTTATACAAAATTGTTCTATACAGTATTTAATGCAATTACATCAGAAGTAACTGTAATTAAATTACAGAAAAATCAAGAGTAATCTCTTACTTTACTTTTTTGAGGGAAAGGTAATTAAATTACAGTGATTAATTACTTAGTAATGCATCACACCCCACACGGGGAGAAACTAACATAATATTTAGAAAGAGATTTGTGTTTTGCAGTCGACTCACCCTTTTTCAGCAGCATAATGGGCTAACTGGTTGTAAAAATAAGGCGAGGGGGTGGGGCAATGGGAAGACTCTTGATCTAATTGGCCTAAGCCTATGTTGGCCTGCCCATCTGTGCAAATTATAACCTGAAAAAAAATTAATAAAAAATACACAAATATATACACGTAATGTATAGCATCAGTATGCATCAGTAGCTAAAGCAAATATTTGTATAAATATGCAATATAATATATGATGTGTCCTCTTCTAGACTATGGCTTAACTCAGTGAGTAGTGGTTTTATCATTGCAGCACATATTTATCATAACAAAACAGGTATATTTGTCAGAACACATAATTATGGTACAGACTTTTGACCCTGTGAACTGAGATGCCATGGCAACAGAGATGAGGGCAGCGGGTCCCAGTGCTGTGGCTCCATGCTCTCTGAGTCTGAGAAGAAGAAACCTTAATTTATCACACATTGAGACAGAGTACTGACATAATGACTTAACACTAAAATGTATTGCTTTTCTTTCTCTCTTTATTCTATATCAGGGGTGGCGACAGTCATTTAGTCAGACAGACAGACAGACAGACAGACAGATAGATAGGACATTTAGATTACTCATGCCTTCATCTGCCTTCTAATAGGTAATATTTAACAACACTGTTAAATGTAGTCAAGCAAAACTACAGCATTTTTATTTTAGATACAATATAGAATTTTACTAAGCATAACATAGAAGTCATTACTGAATTTGTTGAAATTGTTCTTGGTTAACAGAATATCACTATAGAAAATTTCAGTTTCACTATGGAAAAGTTTTTGGTGTTACTTTATAGGTTCTTCACATGGATGCATTATTTCTGGTTTATTTTATAGCACTGGTATATGGTTTTTGATAGAAACAGGCACTTCTTTATAGAAATGGTTTTCCTGTGATTGGTTCTACATGGTTTAAAATAATGATGTAAAGCAATAAAGCTGTTTACAGCCTATGATATCTATGTTTATGCTGCCTTCAAATGGACATGAATCGCCTCCCTAGTCATATTTGTGGGTTTTAAGCTCACTGTCTTTTTGAGTCTAGCCTTGGTTTTTTTCTAACATATTTAAAGGGGTCATATGATGCGATTTCAATTTTTCCT